CAACCAGGTGAAGGCCTTGAGAGGAAAGACTAAGGTCCCCAGCAGAAAGAACCCTCTGGACCAGTGGTCCCCCACCTACCAGGCCAGCCTTGTGTAGGTCAGTCCCTGCACGGATGGGGGTGGGGGCTGTTCCTGGGATGACCAAGCACGCCCCCCTTCACCATGCACCCCATTTCTACCACTGCACGTTGCAATATACAACAAAATCATCACACGACAATAGGGCTCAAGCTCCCGTGAGACTCCAAGACCATGGGTTCTACAGGAGGCGGCATCCAGGCAGCGATGTGAGTCACGGGGAGGGGCCACACACATGGATGAAGCCTCCCTCACTCGCCTCCCCCCAACACCCACTGCGTGGCCTGGCAGACACACAGTGGTCCGTGTGTGGTCTAGGGGTTAGCTTCCCAACTATAGGAGACATGGGTCTAGAAACCAAGTGGAGGGTGAGGCAGCCCCGTGTACCATCACCCCAGTGATCCACTGGCTCATTCTGAGCGGCTCCCCTCAACGCCCCCCAGAGTCTATGTGTCTAGAGGATGAATGCTTCTACCAGAGGACACGGAACGTGTCCTATTAAGCTATGATTGCAACCAGTCACCTTAGAAACCTAAGCCAAGGGTCCACAAAAGGGAGCACGTGGCCATGCTGGCAGGAGCACCAGGCCCTCCCTCATCAGGATGTGGGCTGCTGATCCCCGTCTCTCAGTAGTCCTTACCCGGTTTTGATGGTACAAGGACAAGGGGCCAGGGTCTCTGACTCCTCGGGGAGAAGATGCTCACTAGGTGAGCGGATGTGCTAGGTGAGGGTGAAGGAACCTGGAATGGGTCGCAGAGGAAAAGAAGCTGAGTGTTGGTTGTCCCCTGAAGACCACACAGAGCTGGGAGCTTTATCTCAAGACCCTAACCTTAAGCTTGCCTGTTTTTCCAGATAAAGAAATCAGATCGTGCAGGCTTATGTAGGCCACAGAGAGGAGTTTGGATAAGTTTATTGTCACAGTTAAAGGAAACTCTTGGTCTTTTTCTCCGGCTTAGTTTCTAGAAAGTTGGCAGCTAGGCATATTTCCTTGTCCTCTTGTCAGAAGAGAAAGCATCTCTGGAGAAATGCAACAGATAACCACACTGGGATCTTCCAAGGAAACAGCAGACCCTCGCTCCATTCCCTACTCTGAAGCCCGTCGGCTGACAAGCCCTATCACAAAGAACTTCCAGTCTCTGCTTTAACGCCTTGTTCTTTAAACTAAAAACAGGCCAGGAAATACATTCAGGCATTTGAGGAAAGTCTCCAACATAACAGATGAGACCAAATCAGCAGAGAAAGGGAATGAAGAAAAAAAGATATGTAAGGAGCAAGAAAAAACTTCAGAAATTATGATAAAGATTATAAAGAGAGAAAGACAATGCCTTTAAAGAAGATTAGGATACTAAAAAAAGACTTCTGTTGCCAGACGTTGGCCCAGCAGTACAACACAACACTCTGTGAGGCTGAGCCCTGCGGGAAGGCTGCGGGCTCAGGCCTGCAGACCAGCAAAGCATACCACGTGCCTGTGTGCCGTGACCCAGGCTGGCTGAGACTGGCAGTAGATTATGGCCGCAAGACCGCGGGGGGTGGGTACTGTCCCGCTGTCTCTGTCTGTCTCACTCATGGGATAAATACATAAACTTAAAGAACACTCGGGGGAAATTAAACATTTAATAGAAGGAGGGATCAGCAAGTGGCATGGTGGTTAAGAGTGCTGGACTCCCACATGGCTGACCGCAGTTCAAGTCCCAGACCTGGCGGCTTTCTCTCTCTCTCTCTCTCTCGCTCGCTCACTCACTATCACTTTCTGGTCAAATTAAAATAAATAAATGGATAAAGTTAAATAAAATAATTCTAAAAAATAATTAACAGAAGTGTTAGGTAACCCATCTGAAAATTTTTCTGGACAGATGAACAAAAAACTCTGAAGAAACTGGAAAGAGGGGAAAAGAGGTCCAGCAACCAATGCTCAGAAATTCCAGAAGGAACAAACCAAGAAAATGAGTATGAAGACATTAGTACAGAACTAATAAAAGAAAATTTACCACTGGGTCAGCAGGTGGTGTGGTGGTTAAGGTGTTGGATCCCACATGACCAAGTAGGCGGTTCGATTCTTGGACTTGGCGGTTTGAAAATTACACTGGATATGTGTGCATGCACACTCCAAATCTGGAGAACAGACTGAAGGAGACAGGCCTGTGGTGTAGCCATGCCCTCTCGGAGGTGATTTCTCACTTTCCCTCTCTCTTTCTCTGGCAAGAGCACATGCCCTATGCCAAAACTTTACAAATTAAATAATAATAAAATTTTTTTAAAAGCCAGAATTGAAGCTCATAAATTTCTAGATGCGAAAGGTCTACTGAGTGCCAGAACAGTAAATGAAGCAAACATATA